ATTAGGTTGGAGGCCATCGCTATTAAATTGTGTTTGTTCTCATGCGTTCGTTCTTGGCTCTTTCTTTTGATGAAATGCAAAAGTTTCGATGTTGTTTCGGGGAGTGGACAACATGAGAAGCAGGTTCGAACACATGTCCAAGAAGGAGAAAGACAGTGTAAGTGTAAGTCAATTCCTCTGTGAAATGCCTGTGCGTCAGAAGCTTCGCCCGTCTTGCTTGCAAGGAAGGAACTGAGTTGGGAAAGCATATGTACTCTGTAGGTTGCTGCATGTTTCTCTGTAGAAAAAAAAAAGCAGAAACGCAAACACGATGAATAGCCACATTGAGCAGCCGCACCAAAGGCGGGGTCAGATCAATGACCAATGCTTGTTTGTGTTGACCTGAAGAGCTACGGATTGACACAAGCACAAGCAACAAGCAAATGCAGCCCGTCGGCCTTGGAAAGCTAAGACGATCCTCCTAAGAAAAATGTCGTTACAATGAAGCAAACCCTGTTCGAAGGACCTCCGTGTTCGTCACCGTTCCAGGCGGCAAGAAAGTCCACAAATGCTACATGAATCTACAGATGGATCAAGAGACGGATCTAGACGGGGAGAGCCATCTAGACAACCTGATGTTTGAGATCCACACTGCCAGCCACCACAGCCGGCCAGCGCGGCCGAACTGTGATGTTGACCTGAAGAGGATCAAACACACCATGATGTCTAGATGTTGCTGAGGTGTTTCCACATAGAAACCCATGTTGGGCTTCGGCGTGGCTATGGCATGTGAGAGACTTGCCAGGCGACCATCAAAGGATCCACATTGTCAAAGCGATTGCAGCTTGCTGTCTGACGACGACATTACATTGGATTATAGTACATGACATTTCATTGATCGAATCACATCTAGTTGAAAGTGTTGCAACTAAATGCTTGATTCGCACAGTGCTCACTTTTTGCTCTGGGGACGACACCTGTGCCTGCGCCACCAAGAGGTATAGCCTGGGAAGAATGGCAATACAGTAGAAAAGAGACCTGTTCAGAAGAGGATTGTGAAGCAAGTAATTAGCATGAGCTCCAGAAACTCAAGGATGCAAACCAAGGCGTCAAGCCATCCTTCCATCCTTGCACATAGTCAACTGAGCGACTTTCCCCTGGGTCCCCAAACAAGATCCAAGCACGAATCATTGCCCCTGGTCAGATCTAGAGGTATTGCTGTGAACAGGAAAGGCAGCTGGTTTTGCTTGCATGTTTTTTCAAGAATACTTGACGCAAAGGTGGTGAGGGCGACCCAGCTTTTGCTTCACTACACGTTTCTCATCACCATGCAGTGTTCAATTCAAAGAACGAGAGGATAAACATGAAAGTTTGCCATGGCTACTATGTGTGATCATCTCCACACTGGCGCCCGGTGCCGCCTCAACCGGAACAGTAGTAGCCACATGGGCATCGGCCATGATGCAACACGGCAACATGAGAACCAAATACAACCAGGTCCAACTGGACGCCCACGTAGCTGAATGAAGCTCTTTGCTTGGCACTGATGAAGCAACTTAGCAGCAGCTAGTGCAAGCAGATAGTGCAGGGAGCTCTCAGTGAAAGGAGCATGGTCGACTTTCCACATGTCTTGAGCGCAAGTGCAACTTGAGGTGATCAATCCTATTTCAATTCTATGGGCCATAGCAACGGCTTGGCGTAAAGGTATGAAAATAATCGCTTGTATGTTGAAGATTGAGACCTCGTGGTAACATGTTCTACCCGTTCCAAGGCTTTCAACTGAAAAGAACTCTACAAGTTGGTAGTGCAATTGCGCCGTGGGGCTGGCACCCTCTGGCCGTGCATAGCCTGGCACAAAGGAAAGTGGTTCCAAGAATCACATGTTACGTTTTCCACGACTTGGATAATCTTGCAAAGGAAATCAAAGATGTGCATTCAGTTTGAATCGGGAAGTGCCCGCTTCTCACATCATGGCCCACCTTTTTGGCAGGTTCTATCATCTTCCATCAAAGGCACACTTTCACCCGTTCATTTGCAAAACAAACACCATGGTACATCTATGGTGGAGATATGGTGACCCGCCTGGGCATCTTGCACCAATGCCTGAAGGACAAGAAACTGGCGCTTTCCCACCCTTCATGGTGGGAAAGTGAACAAAATTCCAGTCGGGGAGAACTTTGCAACGAAAAATCTACACTGCCGTGTGACATGCCTCATGTCTTCGCTCATCTGCCCAACTGCCAAACCAAACACCCAACTTCAAGCCTCCCAGTTTGCCAGGGCAATCTGGAGTGGCGGCACGAGCGGCAAAAGTACTGATTGGTGTGAGGATGAGCCCCAAGTCCAAAATGATAGTAATGGCCTCCGCCTCCACCCTGGAGTACTTTGTCGGGCCTTTATGGTTCTTCAATCCACTCATCACACAGTGCCCAACTTGGGCCGGAAAGGGTCCCATGCTTGTGCTACCAAAAGTGTAAACCCCCTGCGAAAAAAAAGAAATGTCAAAAGCACCTGGAGTTCTTTAGGTGGAGCACTGGAGTCTGCCCGTGTCAAACAGGAATACATGTCACCCAAGACACACCTACGTACAGAGGTGCTGTCGCAACTAAGTGTCGGTATTGTTTTAATGCTCGCTTGACGTTTGGCATAGTCGTCCTCCCACCTCTCGGCCATGTATCAAACTGCATCGTTTTCATCGATCGAAGAGGGTGATATTCCGCTTGCGCTTCGGAGTTGGCAGACGCCAAAGCTTGGTCAGCGGCGCCGCAACGTTTCCGTGAGGACAAGCGTACTGAAAAACGACTGGCCCACAATGCGGTTTGCCGCCTTGCTTCAAGGGCCTTTTGGCTCAAACTTGGAAATCTCCAATTACATCACCTTGCTCGTTGCTCCAGCTTTTCACGACAGTCTGCGTGCTCTTCCGACCCGCTTCAGTTTTGCGCTTGGGCGCTCTTGAACGTTGGGCAACATGGAGGCACAAATGTACCAAGCCTTCCAAGCACTTCATGAGAATCCGCCGTTGAAAGCCAGCTGTTGAAAGGACTCGAAACGTTAGAGTTTATTGCGGCTGCTTCCCTGACGAAAAAGCCAAAGGCCTGAAGTCTGAGATGAGAGTTGAGTCTTTCACAAAACCCACATACAATGAAACGTGTAAGGGGTAGCGGGTCTTGCGTGGAGATTGGGCAAGACTTTTCTAGGAGTGGCCTGAACCAGCTTGGGTGTTCACTAAAACAGGTTTTTGCACAAAAAACATCATAATACAAACAAGTTCAAAGTGTGAGCACCTGTCCCCTCGGTGCGTTTCCCCTTCTGGCCTGTAGGGCTTGAGCAGCATGCTGCAGTCGACTGGAAGGCTCCTGGGCCTGGACTGAAAATGGAGGTCTGATAGAGTTGGTCCAAGTTCGGTTGGATTGGTCCAAGTCTGCAACTAATCCGTCAGATTCTGAAACTGGTTTTTTTAGACGCCTCTGAAATTGTGCTCGGCCTGGCACTTTCAGAACTCAGAATCAGAATCACAGCTTAAACATTCCAGTTCCAGAACCTGAGTTTGAGAATCTGACGGATTAGTTTCTTGCAGCGTCATCTTGGATGCACTTTCAGTCGCCACCCCACCCTTGCCCAGCGTAGCATAAACTGCGTCTGAAAGTTCACATGAGCATTAACACCACAGAGAAATACCAGTTGCAATATCCAAATAGTTGTGAAATCCCGTGCAGTTGCGGAATCCGACTTTATCCGCCAGGACTAAAGAAGTGAACCGGCATGGCTGGACAAGAAGCATATTAAAGTGCCAGTTGGAAAAGTCGATCAACCTCACAGGAAGCCCCTTTTGAGTCAGTGGAAAAAGACACTGATGACATTAGAATCACCGCTCCTGCACTTGGGAGGGTGGCACAGGCAGCTCCACCTGCAACAGGGCCAGTACATAAATCTTGAAGTATGGACCCATTGTGGATTTCAAGCTTCTTGGAAAGAATGGAATCTACTACACAACCAGAACCCAACAATGGCATCTCAATTGGAAATTCTTCTTGAGCATTCCGAATGGCGACAGCCAAGACTTTGAGCACTTTTGGAGCTCTTTGGGCCCCGGCCTTCGCGGGAGTTGCAATCTCGCTTGCCTTGCCAACATTTGCCCAACTCGAAACAGGGCAACTGTCCTTAAGCTCTCAGCCTCTCAGCACTCGATACAGTATCTCAGTATCTCGGCTGATGTCAAAGTAATATCATCTTCAGCAGTCACACAGTTTCAGTTTCTCATTCTGTCAGTCCGAACGTCTTTCGAACCCAGTTCTTCACCATGAAGGGAGCACAAAAGACCAGCCCGAGCCTGAAAGGTCCTGGCGTGAAAAGCGAAGCTAGCGATGCTCGTACCAGGGAGCCGAGAGAGGCGCTGAACACATCAACCAAAAATCAAGTCTGACTGGGTCAGCAACGACCCATGGATCAACCGCGGCAGAGCACCAACAAGCAGGTTTGCCAGGATTGATGAACGGTGACCAAGCAAGAAAACGCAAAACGCATTGGGTCTCAAAAGAAGAGTCATCCGTCCAATACTCAAACCATCTTTTACTGTCGCCATACGCATGTTGCACAAAATGATGATATTACATACAAAAGGACTTGAGAAGATAAATGGGGAATCCAAAAGGAAAGCAGATCTCTCTCGGGCCTTCCCTGCGCTGCTCCGGCCTGGCACAACGCAGCCCACAGGGTAGCTCTTGTAAAATTACCAGCTGCCAGCGCAGCAAGAATGACCAGATTCTGACCTGTTTGCCTTGAACAAAGCCATACTGGTCTGGACTGGCAACGAGATCGACGCACGATAAGTTCGAATCAAAAACAAAGAGTTGACAAGAAAGAAATTCCGGATCCTATGACGCTTTAAAAAAGTGCCCAGATCTTGCAAGTCAACAAATCAAACTGCGAGGATGAAGCACATCGAGGCTGATAGTGTCAACTGACCTGTTCCATCGTGGTAGTAGACAGCAAAGGCCTCAGTTCATACAAGTCTTCGGGCGAAAACCCGAACCCAGTCTGCAAAGACAAGCTCTTTGTCCAGAGTCTGAGCCGTCTACGGAACAGGGCTTGCCATTTGGGAGGCATCCTGCGCAATTAGGAAGCCAAGCTTCCAGGAAAGTGCAAATCATCCTTGCATTGATTTGTCAAAAGGGCAAAACTTTTGTCAGCAGTGGATTTGAAACAAATATCGACAGCTCTCATTTGCTAACTATCTGGGCACCTGCACTCTGGAACATACCACCAAGAGCTACTTTCGGTAACATGCTACTCTGGTCCGCGTATTTCGAGAGGTTTTCCAAGGTCGCCTGTTGCCTTAGTCGGTGTCCAGCTCGGAGCTCGGAGCTCTGAGCCAATCTGCAAAACGTCCAAAGCTTCTCCAACGGTCTTTCATATGAGGAAAACCCTTCATACCCTTGTTACTAGTAGCGATGTCCTTGTTACTAGTAGCTTCTAGTTACCTGTCTTTCATCTTGAGCCTCATCATGTCTTCAAACCGGAGAGGCTGGGCGCTGGACCGCGCCCGATCCAGCGAAAGCAGCTCCTGTACGTAGGCGGCCATGCGCTCCTGGCATGAAAGAATCTCGAAAAATCCATCAACCACTCACCAAACGGAAAACTAGGTACTAAATGAAATAAATAAGAGAGAGAGAGAGAGACAGATTAAAATAGAAAAATATATATATATAATCCTTCCTCGTGTCATCTCTTCTTGCGACCATTTATTAGATGTGTAAACCATTTCTTTTCCCTTGACTCCAAGCTTGGATGATTGAGTTTTGTATATTCAAACAACCGGGTTTTCTCTGCTCGCCCATGCAAAGCTGCTGTGAGGATGATCCTGTTGCTGCTTCGGTCAACTCAACACCTGAGGAGACTGATCTTTGTTCAAGACTACCTGGCGACACGGAGTGCCCTCCTTTACTTTCAAGCGGGCCCTGCACCTGCTTCTTCTACTCTGTATTATTTCCTTCATGCTTTCATACCTTGTTTTGGTCTCTTCGACCTTCCTGGAGTGCTATGCTTACCACTTCTTCCCCTTGTGTTCATTTGTTCAGTAGCACTGGCAGGATTGGGATGATTTCGTGATTGCTATCGACGTTCTTGCCTATCGGGTCTTTCTGGTGGTCATTCACCATCCCCCGGTCCATGACTTTCAGGGAGTCAGTGATTCATGCCAGTTATTGCGCTATTTCTGGTCGGTTCAGATCTGGAAACTTCGGTGGACAGCTGGACTAAGTGTAGGATGTGTAGTGAGGGGTGGAGGCCATTGCTATTAGGTTGGAGGCCATTGCTGTTGGGTTGGAGGCCATTCCTATTATAAAGATTGAAGGCATCGCTATTAATTAGGTTGGAAGCCATTGCTATTAGGTTGGACGCCATTGCTATTAGGTTGGAGGCCATTGCTATTAGGTTGGAGGCCGTTGCTACTAGGTTGGAGGCCATTGCTATTAGGTTGGAAGCCATTGCTATCAGGTTGGAGGCCGTTGCTAGTAGGTTGGAGGCCATTGCTATTAGGTTGGAGGCCATCGCTTCTGGGTTGGAGGCCATTGCTAGTAGGTTGGAGGCCATTGCTACTAGGTTGGAGGCCATCGCTTCTACGTTGGAGGCCATTGCTAGTAGGTTGGAGGCCATCGCTAGTAGGTTGGAGGCCATAGCTTGCGGGTTGGAGGCCATTGCTATTGTGGTTGGAGGCCATTGCTATTATGGTTGGAGGCAATTGCTATTAGGTTGGAGGCCATCGCTAGTAGGTTGGAGGCCATCGCTTCTGGGTTGGAGGCCATTGCTAGTAGGTTGGAGGCCATTGCTATTGTGGTTGGAGACAATTGCTATTAGGTTGGAGGCCATCGCTAGTAGGTTGGAGGCCTTTGCTTCTGGGTTGGAGGCCATTGCTAGTAGGTTGGAGGCCATTGCTATTATGGTTGGAGGCCATTGCTATTAGGTTGGAGGCCATCGCTTCTGGGTTGGAGGCCATCGCTATTAGGTTGGAGCCGTTGCTACTAGGTTGGAGACCATTGCTATTAGGTTGGAGCCTCTTGCTACTAGGTTGGAGGCCATTGCTATTAGGTGCCATTGCTATTACGTTGGAGGCCATCGCTATTAGGTTGGAGTCCATTCCTTTTAGGTAGGAGTGCTTTTGACTCTGGTGAGGGGGTGCAAGTATCGTCACCTGTTTGCGCTCCTTCTGCTTGTCGCCGAGGGACATGTCGTCGTTTGCAGCTTGCACCCTCGCGACCTTCCACACATTGCAAGCTGTATTCTGAACAAAAACCCTCCGATATCGTCCTGTTGCATTTCGTCATCAGTCTCTTCCTCCTGCGGTTGCCAACAATGTACTTATCAAGTCCTTACAGTGCCATGTCAAAAGGGACAGGGGATCATCTGCGCACACAGATCAGGATCATCTGCGCACACAGCCAAGATCATCTGCGCACACAGATCTGGATCATCTGCGCACACAAATCTGGATCATCTGCGCACACAGGGCACATCGGGTGGGGTGGGGTGGGGTGGGGTGGGGCTAATGACGTTCACTTCGACTAGCATTCATATCTAATATCCCGGTGTTGAAGTAAGGGTGCGGTGGTGGGGTGGGGTGGGGTGGGGTGGGGTAGGGTTGGGGTGGGTTGGGTGGGGAGGGGTGGGGCTCACACACATCTGAGCACCCTGGATCAACACCCGGCCTTTGCACCTACCGTAAGAACCCAAAGTATGGCCACTGTTTAGGCACCCCGCATACGGAAGCCGCGTGTACAGACGATCCCCGTCACCGCGTGTACAAACGATCCGATTTCCGCGTGTGCAGACGAACCCCTGTCCTGTCAAAAGCACTCTTACAAATCCGATTTCCAGCCTGGGACGGATTTGTGACCTCAGCACCAGCAAAGCTACCCTAAATGAGCCCTTCTCGCTGAAGCCCTCACAGCTGATTGTTGCCCGGGTATGATCGATACTGATCGATACTGATCGATTGGTTCAAATTGTTGGAAGTTATAAATCCAAATACCGACAACTTGCAGAACCCAAGCCAATGTCAACACTATGAAACACTTACACGTGTTCGCACACCTGTATGGACCGTATCTGATTGCTGAAAAAGTGCAGGATGTCTTGTGCAATGGCCTTTTGCAGGGAATTCCTTCCTGAAAGGTCTGCTTGCATGATCTTGCGGGGATTTGTGCAACCTTGTTAGTTGAAGGAATCTGGGATGATCCCCGACCGGTCTACCCTGCCAGCTGACGCCATAAACACGCCACGCTGCGAGCAAACACTTCCGGCGTGAGCCAGGCTGAATTTGCAAGTTTCCAAACACACTTGAGCCAAAAGCAATGCAAAATCAATGTGCCAACGTATACACGCATACTTTGAAACTCAAACCAATGTTTTCAAACTCAAACTTCTAGTGCTCACTACCATCATTTCAGGCCTGCCAAAAGCAGTCAAAACCTGATGGAGGCTTTTCAGTATATCATGGTTTATCCGAATGTGTCCTTACCCAGTCTCATCCTGCCCATCAAATGTCATCCGCTTTGTTTCTCTGGAAACACCTGGCAGCCTCGTGTTTTGCCTTCACAACCGTCAGCGAAATCTGTCAACGAAAATGCCTTCCATTTTTCCGCATGTGCTCAGCGGCAATCAATAGCCAGCACGGCTCAGAAGATCCAAGTGGTCCCAGACGTCCATGGTCTGGAGGAGACTGAATCGGAGGAAACGGAACACAAAAAAATCCTTGACGCGCCACCCCGCAAGCTACTTTGATCCCAAAAGTCCTGCTCCAAAATCACTCTCAAAACAAAGGACCGAGGAAATTTGAGATTGTTATTTTGTTCGAGGTCTTCGGTTTGAAGGGAGAGAATTCTGAGTGCCCCAGACTGTGTGTGCAGCAGACAGGCCCGAGACCACAGCAGCTGGCACTCCAATGCCCTGAAGGAAGCATGTTTGGGTGTGTTTGATGGTCACAAAAAATGGCTTCATTTGTTTCTGTGGCTTCTGTGGCATTCTTAGAGGACTCACAAATCCCAGGTGTCTGCCAATGCCTGAAGCCTTCAATCCTTGAAATTTGCATTGTATTTTGGCTTGTGGAAGATAGAGGCAATTTCTGCCTGCTTTCCTCACAAATCACATGGCAAAACCCACGCATTGAAAAAATGGTTCACAACAAACCGGAGAGTGCGGAGTGGCAAGGAGCAACGCGTGCCCTGAGGGCCCAGGCTGGAAAGGTGGAATCGCCACAAAGGAGCAAATGTTCAATGCCATGCTCGCCCCGGGCAGCGGGCCTAGCATCCATAGCATCTTTTTTGGGCCCCTGCTCCCCCTAAAAGCTTCTAGCTACTAATGCACTTGTTACTAGTAGCGATGCACTTTAGCATCCATAGCATCCATAGCTAAAGCTAGCCACTGTTTACACATACACTGAATGGACGATGCATCGAGCGGGCGTTAAGGCGTACGCCCTTCACTTCTTTGTTGGATTTGAACTGTAACGAACACAGCAGACAAGCTACAAGGATTTGGTCAACTTTGACACTCAAACTATCCTTGACGCCAAACCCACATTGGAGCAAAAGAAACTTTTGGGGAAGGGCGCTACTAGTAGCTCCTGGCCTTACTACTAGGAGCAAGGACGCTACTAGGGGCTCCTGGCATCGCTACTAGGAGCAAGGACGCTACTCGGAGCAAAGGATACTCCAAAAGAGTCCAAAGCCTTGAGTGAAGAAAACTCAAAGAGGCTGTTGCTAGGTTGGAGGCCATTGCTTTTCATATTGATACAAGGATTTATCCTGTGTATTTAAAAAATACGGCCAGGTGGCAAAGCATCACCTGCTGTGCGAAAAGGCACCTGGCAAGTTGTCAAATCTGGAAGTTCCATGTCACAACAATTGGAAGCTCCAAGGGATCAGACCGGAAGTGTTCAAAAAACAAGGGAGTCAAGAATGTAAAGAAAAGGGAGATGGAAACAGAAGGTGAGTGTTTGGGCCCCTTCTTTTTGATCCTCTCTTAGACCTCTTCTTCACATCGAAAATTGCCACAAGCACTCTCTGGCCTTGCCAGGCCCGAAGCGACCAAAGATAGGCTTTGGGCCATATGTTCCAGCCTAAGCAAGCCACGCAAACCTAATAGCAATGGAAGCAAGCCAGAGCTTGTTCACACTGAGTCCCAAAAGGCGTAGAATGACCAGGCTGAAGCCGAACAAAAGCCACGATAGGTCGACTGAGACTCCCAGGCCGTGCGTCGCAAGAACCGGCGATGCGTCAGGGGGCTACCCACCAAAGCCACCTTTCGTCGAAAAGGACGAAAAGGACGAAGATTTCCTCAAATCACAGTCTTCTTCCCACCTTCGAAGATCGCTGGAAAGCATCACCCAAATTGCGGATCGCAGTCCAGTTCCAGTGCCGATGGTTTGAGGTATTGATCACGAGCCTCTGCTCGTCGCCGGGCATCAGGGATCACTTCCTGGAAGAAAGACATTCTGTAGCTATGGCAACAGGAAGAAGACCAAAAAGGCCTCCGTTTCCCCTTTCTTTTCTAGCTCCAGCCACCAGAAATACATTCACGCAACAATGACATTGACTCATTCCTGATCTTCTTTTAAGGCCATGGGGGGCGAGGCTGTAGGTTGTGGAGGAGGAATAGGTGGCTTACGGGCTCGGATTTGATTTGGTGTGTTGTTTCTTTGGTGAAAGTAATGAGTTGTTTCTTTAAGTTTAAACTTTCTTTCTTTCTCTGGCGTCAAAGGCCGGTCGGCCTGTAGCTCTAATTTCGCGCAGCCGTAGCCAAAAGTGCGATCTCTGCACACGCAGCTACCGATCCTGAAAGTCAGGCATGTGGTGCCCTTATGGATCGATAGCCGCACACATCTCCTGGATGCTACGCGCCCAAACGGCCAAGTCCGAGGGAAGGGAAACTTCCTCTGCAAGGCCATGGCTCACCATCTTGGAGAGCCCATCAAAGACGCCCTGCGCGAAAGCGGCCGACAAGGCGGGGCTGTACATCTTCATTTCCTCCGTGCAGAACTTCCCGTCCGCCTCCAAAGAACTTTGGAGTGCAAAGGCCGAGCCCTGGCAAAGCTGGCGCATCTCCTGTAGGGAAAGACCATCAAGCCCCCGGGGACCCGCGGAGGTTCTCAAAGGTCGGTGACCTCGTAGCTCCGCGCCATCCGCAGCAACCAGAGGCCACCATCTTGCCTCTGAGAAAATATCACAGGGAGAGCCCGCCAGTGTAGCGGCCACCTTGCCCTCTCACACAGCTCAGCCAGGCGACTCCAGGTCAAGGAGCAACTCCTAAGATCGCCCTGTCCTTGGTCCACTGCTGTGTCTAGTGACAACACTGCCACATCGAAGGCCCTCCGTCGGCCAAACGGTGGAGGCGCCAATGGAAATCATGCCGTCGGCTGTGTCCGGAAAAAAGATGGACCACCAAAAAGCATCGCCGGGTCGGTCCGCGCAAAAAGCAAGGAACTCGTGACCCTCCAACAGGCGGCACACGGACCAAGTCGGGCGAGAATTCAGCGGCAAAGAAGTCCTGCTCCGCAAAAGGGCGGCGCATCCCAAGGCGAGCGCAGCGCTTTTCTCCACCACTACGGGGAGGGATGCGACTGGCCCGCTGCCGATCGACTTGCAGCCAAGTAGCCGAGCCAACATCTGGCGTAGGAAGCGTCAACAAGCGTTCCAGAGCCTCACATCGGCGCAACCATTGCAAAGCGTCCACATCGGCGCACAGGGCCTCATAGGCCTGCTCCACAAAGGCGCCCGCTTCACCATCATCCCACGCGGTATGTGAGGCCTCCCAGCGGCCAAAACTAAAGAAAGCAGCGTCTTCGTTGCCGGAATCGGCCAAAGCACTCAACCATGCGCGTTGGAGCCACTTCACCAGGGCCACGAGGGTAGGCGTCACGCCATTGCTCCAAAGCTGCGGAGGCAAGCGCCGCAGACCGCGTCACGGGCCATGTGCCATTCAGGTGCGTGTTCTCCCTGGGCATGGACCCTGTGATCGGCTAATGCGGTCTTGGACGCAAAGGTGCGGCCGCAGTAGCACACTGTGAAGCCTCCTCCTGTATTGCCAAGCGCTCCATGCCTGCTCGTTCCAAGAGAGTGACGACGCGCTTGCGCCACTCCTTGGTCTGCACCAGCTTCTTCCATTACCCAGGTGGTCTGCCAGAACCGTAGGTGCCCCTCCCACGAGTCATCCATGCGTGAAGAACGGTGCGTCAGGCACAACAGGCAAGATCAGCGTCCAAAGCAGAGAGCCACGAGTCGGCACAATGCGTCTTTTCAGCTTGGAGGGCTTGGATCAATGCAGGCGACCCCACACTGAAGACAGAGGCCGCATAGCAGAGCCGCATACGCACAGTTTGAAGGAGAAAATCGCCATAAAGTTGTCCATCCGAGCGGATTGTGCGCCCATCCCCCACTCTCCAGAATTGCTCATCGACTGCTTCTCTGAGGACCTTCGTGAGGAAGGACTGGAGGCGCTGCAAAAGGCGAGCCGGCAAAGCATGCCAAGAACCAGCTCCAAAAAGTAGGCGAGAGCAAATCAACGCCTCAACCAAGCTGCATCTGGTAGATCTTGCCAGCTTCCGGTTGCCAACCAAGGATCGACGAAGCGAAACCAGAGCAGAGGAAGCTGTGCCAATCCGCTGCGCAATCTCCTGCGAAAGATCACCCTCAGTAGCAAAGGCCGAGCCAAGGTGCTTGTATGAGGCCGCAAAAGGAAGCCAAAAGTCACCAAATAGTTCATCGCTGACAGCGCAGCCACCGGCCTCAACCAAATGTTCAATCCTGGCCGCTGGTGCTCCACGGCCCTTAAAGGTGAGAACAGCACAAGTCTTTGTGGGCACAAGGTTGACCACCATGCCGCCTCGAGAAGCAAAAGCCCGCCTCGCCAGTCAGGCAATCTGCTGAGTGAGTGGGACCATGCAGTCAGAAGAGGCACAACATAACTCAATAGCCATGTCATCTGCCCAAGTGCTGACCAGCGGCTCGACGACACTGGGATGGGAGCAAACAGCAAGCTCTATCTCCTCATGGATGCGGATCAGTGCACAACTGAAGGGGACCCCGGGCGGCTGCCTCGTCCCGTCTTGGTGAGCTGACCAACATCCCGACGCAGATGGAAGAAGGTGTCCACATAGATCTCCTGCAGCAACAGCAGAGTGGCCTGCCCATCGAAGAGCTCCTCAAGAAGCGAAGGACCGACCGCTTTTTGAGCAAAGGCTAGGCGAGCTGCCGGGTCTAGAGCAGCCGTACAGGCATCTAAGTCGCGCAAGCTCTTGTCCCCGAGCCCCACGCTCAATGAGCGGACCAATCTGTGGTAGGCTTGAGCAAGGTCGATGAAGAGCACGCCAGAACATAAACCACGGCTGGACGCGCTGTAGCGTCCTGGGAGAAGGAGCGCCACTCACGCCAGATCACACGTAGGCGCCACAAACGGCACTGCCTCTGGCTCTGCAACAAGGCATTTCGATGAGCCCTCTTTTGCAGGATGAGATCCCAAGAACTGGGAGAAAGGCCAATTCGTGTGAGGAAGAGGACCGCCAGCTGCAATGCTCCCCAAGCTCAACAAGTTGACGACAAAGCCATGCTGAATGGGTATGAACATCAACTTCAGGTCGCGGCGGACGCCCACCAGACAAAGAAAGTGGCTGGGTCGCCGACAGTGCCGCAGAAGACAAGCGCTGTCGATGTGCTGCACGATGAATGACATTCTGCTCCAAAACCGGCTTGCCAGCGAAGACCATTTCCGCAGAAACTGCACTATGGTCCAAAGTGCCCAAAGCTGGGTCAAATTTGTCATCAACGTAGGAAGTCTTGCAACCCCAGGCCAGAGGAAAAAGCGCATAGTCCAGCCTGCTCCATTCCAGGGTATGAGGGCGTTGCCAAGTCCCATGGGAGCCTGAATGTATGTCCTCAAAGGTGGAGGGAGCCCATAGCGATCTGGATTCCATAAAACAATGCAGCCAGGCACCATTGACTGAGCTCCAGCGGCGCCAACATGGGCTGACTGGATTGAGCCAAGCCTGCAGAGTGACCGGAATGAGGAGCATGCGCAACCAAGACTAGAAGCCGCAAGGAAGGAGCCTTGACTCTTACTAGCAGCAGCCTCGGCTCCTCAACCACAATGCCGAAGTGAGGTGTGGAAGAAAAGTTCCTGTTGTCCCAGCCGTCCATGCGGCAAGGATTTGGAGACTGCCAGAGCGACTCCAAAATGACCGTTGTGGGCAGCTGCCTGGAAGAAGTAGTAGTCCTCAACAATGCGCGAACCACTCCATCGAAGGCAAGTCTCCTGAAGACCCAAAGGCAAGGTACCAGCTCCTGCAGCCTGACGAAGAATGCCTTCTAGACGAGGGTTGCAAAGTGCCCCAAGTGAACGGCCCTCAGCTGCCGGGCCGCCAGTCAAGATGTTGGCCGAGGAGACCTTGAAGGCAAAATGATTCAGGTGAAGCTGCCAACAAGGCCTCCCGCTGCAGCAAACGCCAACGCGTTGGCGCTCTCATTGCCAGGATCACCCTGGTGGGCCGGACGTGAAAGCCTTCAATGTTGGTGCCAAACTCAGCCACAATGAGATGGTGTAGACCCCGGACAGCATCTCGCAAAGTAGAAGCTCGATGAATTTCATAGTGGCCTGTTGCTCCGTACCGGTGGAGTCAAAAAAGGTAGAAATCTGAGGCCGGAGACCGTGCAAACTCCTCTGGCGAACAAGCAAGTCATAGGCCCACTTGCAAGCCCCCAGCATGGCATAGAGCTCCGCAAGGTAGGAGCTAGCAAAGTCAATCGCAGGTGGACAGAAGGCCAAATAGCCTCCAAAGCGCCCGTCCCCAGTACGTACGTAGGAGACAACTGCTGATCCCATAGCTCCATCCCGGAGACTGCCATCAGTTCACAAAGCCACTTCAAAGATGGGATCAAAACCCCACCAAGTAGCGCAAATCGAGGCAGAGCGGGTCCACGAAGTCGCTGCCAAAACACATCAATGTCCTTAGAGTTGATCCCGGGAGAGCCACCACCAAAAAGGAGCTCATCCAGGAGGAGCGGAGACCGCTGGCCATAATCAGAGGGAACCAAGCAGCTTCAACCTCAGAACTAGCCCTCAGCCGCAAGCAGCAAGGCCGAAGTAGTAGTAGGGGCATCAGCCAAAACCAGGAGGTCTCTGACCAATGAGTTGGCTTCGAACTGGCGAAGGAGCACTGCGCGCTGTGAAGGCACCAAATCAAAAAGGACGAAAATGGGCAATTCCAAACTCCCATCCTCACGGAAATGCTGTTCAGGTACCCGTGGTGCAACTAACTGAGAAGAACGAGGCGCCAAATCAGTAAAGCTGGCACCAATCGCCTGGGCGAAGCTTGGAAGGTTCGCCACCATAGGCCT